AGTTTTCGTTGCAGGACCTTCGGACACGGCAACCTCTTCCGCAACACCGATTTTGGGCCAGAATAATCTTTCATCCTTATTTTTGTTTTTTTCTTCAATAATAATAGCTTTTCCGGCTTTTCCAGCACTTATAATTGCACTTATCGCTTCTGAATTTCGCTGGAAATCGTTCACAAAATATTTTTCCTGGATTACTGTAGTCCGCAACTTCCCGTCGAATCCGATGCTTGCGTTTGGTGTACTCCACTTGGACAAACTCGATTTTGATTTGGAAGAGCTCAAAATCAACCTGTTTTTAAATTTTTTATTTATTTTTTGACAAAGTTTCAGCATTATTTTTTTTGCTATAAAATCTTCATTCCGTATATTTACTTTTTTTGCTTCATGAATCCCTCTCTGCACGCTCTCCCACAGAAACAATTTCGAAAATTAACGAAATGAAGATGATTGAAAAACAACAAAGATCCTTGAAAGATTGGGGGAATTCACTTTTTCCCAATCAAAATTGAGTTTATCCGAGTGGAGTACACCGAATATATAGCTTGAAAGATGCTAATCAGGTAAAATTGGGTGGAAAACTAATTAGAATGTATCAAGATACATGGCAAAGAATAGTACTCGCTGAGCTCTATCATATCTATTTCCGTAGATCGAAAAATACTGATCACTAAAGAAATTATGGCAGGGCCCGTTTTCAAGCCTGGAGTTTCCCATTGAACCGCTTTTAAAACCCGTTTTCTTGGGAAAGCTGACCTTTTAAAAAGCACAGTAAATCTTTCTCTATCTTCGAATCCGAAAACAGGTTCCCCATGTTCCGAACATCACTTTTTTCGGCCGTTTGGCATCATGCCAACATGCCTTTTCAATTTCCCATCTCTTCTCTTTCTCTTTTCCAATTGCTAGTCGCCAACGTGTGCTTATCAGTCATAATATCACTTCTCTCTCGCCACTCAGTTTTCTCTCTCTCTCTCTCTCCCTCTCTCTCTCTCTCCCTCCATCTCTATATTTTTTCATTTCGACCCCCGTACGGACGGTCTCGCGATTGGGTTACCAATTTTTTATTTGACACAACGACTACGATGTATAGGCGAGCGCGCTCTTTTTTTTGTCTTATACAGAAGAAGAACTAGAATTTAATTTTTATAAATATTCAAAATTAATAATTTTTCAGCTATGGACGAGCTGCTCGATGAAGCACCCAGCTCGTCGAGCTCATCAAGCCACGTCGGAGAATCATCCTCATCGATTTTGGAGCGAGGAACGATGACAGACGATGGAGAGTCTTCTGGAACACCTAGACCGATTGTGGCGAGACTCTATGGTAAGCAATGCGCTCCAGCGCACTGTCCGATTAATTTTATTATCCAATAGGTTCGATTCTCTAATTTTCACTGTTCAGGAGACCATACTCGTTCTTCATCTACCTCCACGTCATCTGTAATTCCGTGTGGATCTTCTGAAGCTACAGATACGAAAAAAAAGCCGTTAAACTATCGTGAGAAACGACTCGCCGAAATTCGTGGTGCCAGAATGAAAAAGTACAGAGAAAGCGCGGAGATTGTGGAATTCAGTAAGCCACTTTTGATCAATATCTCTTAAAAAGGGCCTCTTATGAAAGTACTTTTTTGCAGAATGCGAGGAAATTGAGCTGAAGGAAGAATTTCTAAAATTCTACGAAGAACTTCTTGAAGACGACGCCCCACCATCGACAGTCTACTATCGTGTCGTCGAATCGCTCGATTGCTATTTTCGTGCCAAGACCTGGGAGAGCAATTGTCCAGTGAGTTTTCAACACAAAAATCTTTTTTAATGAAGCTCTAACTTTTATAGAAGCTCCTCTGTGAATTTCTCTGCGAGCATATTCTCAAAACGTGTCAAGAACTCAATGTACTCAATGAAGCTAGCAGCGCTACCGATGAATGGAAAGCGAGAGAGATACAGATTCAGGTGAGAAGAACTGTTATAAATCAATCAGTCCAATCTGTCGATCGATCAATCAATCAGTTGATTCGATATCTCTATCGAAACAGTCTGGCGTCGTGCCAAGATTGCTATCTTTTCAGGTACTCCTCACCTTGCATGTGTATGTTGTGACAGATAAGAGAAAGTGGTTGGATGAAGCCATCAACAAGATGCGAATGATCTTCATATCGGTTGGTCCGGAAAAATTGAAGACGTTTGTTGAGGAGCCAGTCACTGATATGTGAGTTTTCGAGCTATTCCCCCCCCCCCCCCCCCCAATCGAACTCCAAAAATTTCAGCTTTCTCGAGCTTATCGGTGATGGTCTCGCAACGATCTACGACGAGCTTTGCATTCAACTCCCGGCTGATCTTCTACAGTACAACTCTGGGCTGTTCAAAATGACTGAAACCGATGATAATATCGTTGTGAAGCGCCGTAATGGAGCTGCGAATCGTCTCGAAGCAATGCTCATAGAGACTTCGGACAATTTGGGAATCGGTGGAGTAGAGAAGACGACGTCGAGACAGAAGACTCCAGAAGCGACGGCGCCGACAAAGAGGAGGAGTTTGAAGAGGAAGAATGAGGAATCAGTGCCGAAAGGTTAGTGTAATTAGGTTGATTGAGATGTTCTAGTTTGCCCTGAAGAGTTAAAGTTTGGATCATTTTTAGCGAATTTCAAACTTTTTCAGGATCTAATTTTTTTGCTATTTTTAAGCTTTTACGATCATTTTTTTGACCAGGAGGGGCAAATAAACATTTGCTGCCAGATCATTTGCTACCGGATCATTTGCTACCAGTTATCATTTGCTACCAAATGATCATTTGCTACCGGTGGTATGTCTCCACTAGATTAACTGCTATTAAACAAGAAGCCTGATGTTGAACATAAACTGGCAAATGGGCAATAGGATGGGACCTGACAAGTTGATAGTTAGGAACAATAGCGATATGTCTAGTTGATATGACACAGGTTCTATGTTTTCTCCAGATTTAAAGACACAACTGATAAAAGGTACAAGTTGCTGTGTGTGAATACTGGGACTTTTATGACACAATCCATGTCTTACAGTACAATACATGTCTTAAAGTTGTGCCTCAATACTGTAAATTTTATCGGCTCCCTTGTTTCAGGCGACTTCTGGGGTACAACTCATTTCATTTAGGAGTACAACACTCGTGATTCGGGGGTACAATTTTTCTGAGGGAGTTTCTGAATTCCTGAATTTCAGCGCTTGAAAATCTCAGAATTCTTAGCGCCTCAGAACTTTGGAATTTTGGAATCTGAGAATTTCGGAACTTCAGAACAACTAGACGTATAGCTATTGTTCCTAACTATCAACTTGTCAGATCCCATCCTATTGTCCATTTGCCAGTTTATGTTCAACATCAGGCTTCTTGTTTGAAAGCAGTTAATCTAATAGCGACATATCACCGGTAGCAAATGATCCTGTGGTAGCAAATGATAACTGGTAGCAATTGATCACCGCTAGCAAATGATCTGGCAGCAAATGATTATTTGCCACCGGGGGGCCCTTCTGATACAGGTTTTACGAGAAGTTATATTTCAGAGTTTTCGGGATCCTAGGTATAGACCCTATTTAGAAAATCACAAAATGTCTCATCTAAAAATAATCTCTCAATGCTGTCAATTTCATTTTTGTAGTATTTATGTTTTCTTTTTGTTACATCCATCCTATCCCTTTCCAACAGGTGGCATCTCTCTCCCCCTATCTAATCCTCCATGTGACCACCCTGAGAACATACTCCTCCTCCTACATTTCGCTCTTTCTCTTTGCCCCAGTTTTCTGCTCTTTTAGTATCTCCGAGTCTCCTTCTCTCTACTACTATCGAGATAGGCTCTATTTGTTGCTCTCGCTCTTTTTGTCCGACAACGTACATACTCTATTTTCTCCATACATCACTTTCTTATCGACTGTTTCGTTGTTGTGTTCAGCGAGTTTTTAGATGATACCGTTCCTGGATTCGCATAAATTGTAGTATCTAGGAGAAATAGATCACATGATTTTTTGCTTCTCTGGGTCTCTTTAGCGGACTATTAATTCTTCGAAATTTCGTTTATCACAAGTTTTAAGAATAGATTTTCCAGAACTGCTGTCCCCGGCTCGCCCAACACGATCCGCATCGGTGGGTCGTCCCGACTACAAGCATTTCTTCGTCGAGGACACTCCAGATGAGAAGTATACCAAGAGGAAGTCGGTAACGTTGAAGAAGTCAACGGTAGAAGACATCGAGGAAGAAGATCTTGAAGAGGATGAGGAAGATGACGATTTAGAAGACGGCGAAGACGAAGTTAAAGTCACCAGAATGAAGAAGAGAATCACAATAAAAGAGGAGATTGATGAGGAGGTCAAACAGACACCAGTGGCCAAGTTGAGAGCTGTTGCCGCATCGAAAAGTGGGAAGAGATGCTCTAGACGACTGTCGGAGATGGTGAAATTGAGCGAGGAGAGGTCACAGATCCCAAAAAAGGCCAGAGAGAATCTCAATAAGATTTTGGAGGTAAACATTTTTGACCTACTGGGGTTCAAAGAGCCGGTCAGTAATCGCGCCCTGGTAAATGTGAGATTTTAGAAAAAAATTCGCTGCTGAACTCGTTGGCTGAGGATCAAACTTTTGAACAATAAGTGAAAAAAGAACGCGTTGCAAAGCGAAAAATAAATAGGTCTATTTTCCTTTGGCCTAAAAGTTATTTGGATCGCGATTTTTGGCCCAGTGCTTTGGACCCACGTGTACTCTATATATAAAATAGGCATTTCAATAATCGATATTTTCCAGAAAGCCAAGACCCCATCCCGCACTGTAACTCGTCCCACTCGTAAAAGCGTTCTCTTTGGAACATCTCCAGCTTCTACCTCCATGACCAAGAAGACAGGAAGCTCTCGAAAATCTCTCCTAAATCGATTCATCGACGCTGAAGACAGAAGATCCCCGGATTCAGAATTGACGGTGGACACTTCTGGTGGTCATGATATTGATTCACCATCGGAATCACTCGCCAATACACCGGTTCTGAGAGAACGATCGACGAGGAAGCGTCCGAGTAGATTTCGCCATTCGATCAGTGATTCGAGAGTGAGTTTTTACTAGATTTTCAAGGGTTTTGGAGTGTGGTTTTTGCCTGCTTTTCACGGCATCGCGGTTGGGAACCTGAAAAACGCGCGCTTCGTCGCACATAAAAGTAGGCTGCGTGCCAGATTCGAAAATTTCAAAACGTGTTTTGAAAAAAGCGTGAAGAGTCGCTACTCACCGAAAAGCCTCGACGCGACCGCGCTACGCGTCCAAACTTGGCGCGCTTTCCAATTTTCAAATCTAGGTTCCCTTCCGCCAGGCCGTGGCTTTTCTATGTAGTTTTGTCATTTCCAGCCCGTGAAAGTGGTGAACTACGCCGAGCCGGACATCGATGACGACGACGAAGTAGCTCCTTCAGCACCTTCCACATCGAAACGCACGTTTTCTAAATCTGCCGCATCTTCTGCTGCCACGACGCCAACTGCCACCACCACCACGTCATCTACAAAATGGACGGATCGTCAGCTGAAACGACAGTTGGGATTGACGCGTGAAGACCTCAATAGGTACGCGTAGTCCGCGGGAAGAAGACGCCGCTCCCCTCTTCTCCCTTCTCGAATCTTCCGCATATATTTTCTGTACGTTTGCTTACAATGGCTAATCGTAAGGACAAATGAAATATATATTGTATCGGAGGGGGATTCGTAATACACTTGTTTTAAGCCGGATTTATAGTTTTTAATTCAATTCATTTTCCAGATATCGTAATGCAATGCTAACTACGGGTGAGAGAAATCAAAACAAAAATGTAAAAGTGAGTGAAAAATCCAAATTCAATTTCCCGAATTTCAGATAATTGATTTTTTGATTCAGACAGGCCCTGATACTGAAAATAATGAAAACTTGGTCGACGAATTATCAGTAGGTGTAAAAACCACATAAGGGTCCCCCTTATGCGCTTTTTGGAATTTTTACAAAACATATCATTAGGTGAAAAATTCGCATAAGGGTCCCCCTGTACGTTTTTTTTCCAATTTTTCAAAAAATATCAGCAGGTGTTTACTACTCGTATCGTAGATTGTTATTCAGATCAACTGGGAAAGTGCACAAGTGAATCGAGCGGGACGTGTGAAAGGAGCCGGTGCCAGTGAGAATGGAACTCCGATTTTTGGGATTCTTCGACGAAATGTGCGGACGATGATTTGCCACGTGTTGCTCAATGATACGAATCCTGATACTAGTTTTAACTGGAATAAGGTGAAATTCGACGATTTGGATGATGTAAGTACTTTGAATTCTCTGGAAATTAAAAATTTTTGAATTTAGAAACCAAGAACTCGTCAATTCCAATCGCTAATTCAAAAACCTGAAGCCTTTATGGAGTCTCTGAAACAAAAGTACATTGAAAAACGGTCGATGCCTCTGAAAAGAATGCGTTCGAATGCCACGTCATCAGCAGACCTGACGCCTTCTACATCCACATCACCGTCGAGAAAGAAGCATAAGCCGCCAACGTCTTCTGCGAAGAATTCCCCGAAGAAGAGAAATCCAACGTCTTCTACAAGAGGGTATTCTGAAGAATACGATTTATTTGGATTCGAAACTGAAGCCGATGACTAGAAACGTCCCCTCGGATCCTTTGAACACTTTCCCTTCTTTCAATAAATACCCATTTTTATCCATCTTTTGAATTTTATTCTTATTTCTATAATTTATATTTCTATGTTTCCTCTTTTTTCTTGTTTATTTTCTTTTTCAAATTTTTAAAAAATCTCTTTCCAAATGATCTTTCAACTATTTAAAAAGCCAATCATCCCTCGAGAGGACCTTAAATAATATATTTATATGTTCAGCATATTCTTTTTGCCTTTTTTTCAAGAATTCTATCCTCAGCGTCATCTCTTGTTTTTCCTCTTCTGACCTCATCTTTCCCCACCCATTAACCGTCATTCAAGTTTTATTTGTGAAATAAATCTTTCAACTCTCTCTAATTTCATGTTCGCTTTCTAATTTTTCATATATTTACTGGTTTTTATTGACCTATTTTCACATTATCTGTTCTTTTTTCTCCTCGCTATTTTCAGTTGTATTCAAGAGTTTCAGATGGCTCCGAAGAGCAAGGCTCCGCCGAAAGTGGTGAAGAAGGTGGAGAGATCTCCCACTCCAGATGAGCCAGTCCGTAGATCGGGACGTGCCAGAATCGAGATGGGAAAGTATGAGGAAGGGTGAGTTTTCCTGGAAAATTCAAAACGTACAATAGAACAATTCAGATTTGACCGCCACGAGCTCGAGCTGGCTCTTCGTGCTTCGATGAACGATGCCAAGTCACCATCCACGTCTTCTCCATCTGCCGCCGGACCATCGTCTTCTTCCTCTTCCGCTCCAAAGAAAGAAGTCGCTAAGCCGAAGAAGAAGATCGTGAAGCCAGCTACAACTCCAGTTGCTGCTGCTCCAGCACCAGCTCCAGCATCCACGGAATCACCCAAGCGAACCGTTCCAACCAAAAAGGAGCGCGACGCCGAGAAAGCTGCTGCTAGAGCAGCCGCCGCTACGTTGACTTCACTGAAAAAGGGCACTATCAAGAAGGCACCTGAGACTCCAAAGAAGAAGGTTGTGGCTAAGCCAAAGAAGGCTGTTGCCACTCAAGAAGTCGCTGAGGCAACCTCCTCGTCGGCTCATGAAACGTCTCCAGAAATCGACGATGAAGTCGTTCCAACGAACGAGGCCACTACGTCTACTACCAACTCGGCTCCAGCTGTTGCCACTGCTTCGGCTCCGGCTCCAGCTGTTGTTCCAGCAAAAGAGGTTAAGGCTGAGCAACCAGTCAAGAAGGTTGTCAAGAAGGTATGTATCGGTTTGACTAGCAGTTTCAATTCGCTAAAATTCATATTTTCCAGAAGGCCATCGCCAAGAAAGCTCCATCCACCCCTTCTAGCTCCTCCGCTGATGCTGCTCCAAAGAAGAAGAAAAAGCCAACGACTCCGAAAATATCGGCGAAACCAACGAAGCAATATCTGGAGAACGAGAAGCAAATGCGCCTCATGGCTTGCGCCAAGACCACTGTCCTATAAATATTTATCTACCGTTATCTACCGTACTCTATCGAATTTGAATTGCATTCTCGTCCTATTCCTTATCCTAAACACCCTTATGCTTCTTCTTCGTCTTCTCTCATGTTCCATGCTATCTCATGTACGACTTCTTATATATACATTTAAAGCCACAACACCTAGTTACTCTCTCCTTCTATTCTAATCCAACAAAAAACTGGAAAATTTTACACACTGTGCCTCATACTTTTCTTTTAAAAAATCCTCTCCCCTTGGGATAGAGCCTCTCTCCTCATCGTTTTTTTGCTGAAATTTGCATTTTCATTTTCTATTGGTATATTTTTTATATATTTCACTATAAATTTGCAACTGAAATACTCGATTGCTAGTTTTTTTGCTCAAAGTTTTCAGATGTTGTATACGTATCGATTTTTTTAGATTTTTAGCTCCCAACCCCAACAGAAAAAACGAAAAAAGAAATTGCAGACCCCTATGGGTTCGATGCTTCGAATAGCGATAGTCTCTGCGAATATCCTCCTGGCACTTTTTATATTTCAAAATGGATTTTTATTAAAACGACAAGAGATTTCGGCGACATCCAGTTGCTCCGATGCTCATGCTCAGCCGGGAGAGACGTGTTGGATGAGCCAACAGTATAATAGGGTAATTTAATGGAGAGAGAGAGAGAGAGAGAGAGAGAGAGAGAGAGAGAGAGAGAGAGAAAGAAAGGTTTGATGGAATAGTAATGAAGTGGTGTGTGGGGAAATAGAGAAGAATTAGAATTCATGGGAGAAAATGTTGTTGATCGCTCGATTAAAAAAAAACGATTCTACAAAAAACGGCAAAAGGAACCTTAAAAATTGAAAAATCGATAATAAAATTAGAACATTGATTGAGCTACGCCAAACGAATCCGAATTAGTATGGGTCAAATTTTTTGCGACTTGACACAAAATTGAAACAAGATTTTTTTGTTGAAAAAAACTTGGAAAATTCAAAAAACTTAAATAACTTTTTTATTCCTATACGAAAATTCCGAACAGTGGAAGAGAAACGCCGGTGGCCGAAGGTCCCACAACGACAACGACAGTAACCTAAAATACCATGTTCATTCTCCGGTTTTATTCTCTCGTTTTTTATTGATTTTCGACGACATTTCAGTCATTTTCCACAAAAAAAAACCGGAAAAGTAAAGTTTTCAAGTTCAAAGTTTTCGGGAACTAAATCGAGAAAAACCGAAAACAAATGTGATTTTTCCTTCGATTTTTCGCAAAATTTCTAGACCTTTTTCGGATTTTCAGATATTTTTGAAGATTCTTTTTCGATTTTTCCGGTTTTTTTTGTCTGAAATTCGATGGAACGGTGTTTGATTACTGTAGATTACTGTAGAAATCTAGTTTTTTGTTTTTTTAAGCAAACAAAATCACGTCAAAATGCAGACAAAATTGTGTTTGCAAAAAAA